AGCAAACTCTGGGATTTTAAAAATTGTCAGTTCCACTTGTTTCAGTTTCTTTCTGTGAATATAAAGAAAATCTTTCCGTATTTGTGTTAACGGTTATGGTTAATCTTTGAGAAGGGATCAAGTGGTACATTTGCTTGACTCATCAATACGTCTTTCTTCCAGTTGATTTTATTGAACCTTTGACATTCAGTGCAAAGTAATGCCAAAGATGAATCGACATGCCCCCATGTTGTAGACTCAAAGCTTGGGAGTACTGGTGCGTGTTTTTGACATACTGGTCATATATTTGTTATACCACTTACACGAAGTTTTATCTAAAGATTACTGTGTTGATGCTTACATATAGGCCTTGCCATGGGGATAACTACAGATTGTTCTTGTAGACCTGCCAGACGGGGACAGAATCGGATTATTCCAGTTCTGTTTCCTCTTTTAAGGCTGTGTAATCGACCAATGACAACTTCACACACTGGCTTAACACACTGAACGATATTCAAAAGGATCATCTTCTCTTCTGACTCATGTTTTTGGCACATGCTTCTACAGAAACCTTAACGATGTTTCATTTTATGATATCGGTTGGTAGGGGTGTGCTCACTATATTTTAGGGCTGGATATTGCCCTGATTCTCATATTGCGATATAGTGCAACAATTTAAGAGATATTGCAATATATATTGTGATGTATTGAATGGAGGGTTTCTGCCCAAGTGCGTACATCATAAATTCATAATATCTCTGTGTGCGACATTATCTTCTTAGTTGCTGTTACACCATACTTTCAGTCTCCCAGTCCTCATTCTGCATGGCTGTATGCCAATGGTTTACAGATAAATAAAATGATATAGAACTTTAATGTGGAATGTTTAATTGAGGTATTGCAACAAACGTTTGAGAACATAATGATAAAATATAGCAATAGTATAACAAAAGTTTCCTGGTCAGTGCTTCAACAGAATGTACTTCAATGCAGCTTGCAGTTATTGTTACTGTATGTCAGTGATTAATTCAGATCCATCTCCAATATAAACATGTGTTAACATAAACTTAACATGAAACAAAAACAAAATTTAGGTGAACTACTTGAGCTTAATCATCTCATGTGACGTCCAATAACTGAGATCCTTGACGAGGATGTCATTACACAGTTAGTAAGAGTTAAAGCTTTAGAAAGACTTAGACCTTTATGATAAATTGATAACATATGTTTTATTATGAAACAAACAAAATAACAAAATAATGGGAATCGTGAAATGGCCACTCAGAGCCAGAGCCTCTACTGAAGAACTGGTTAATTTGAGGCCACTTAGGGACCGTTCATAATTTATGGCTAGGGAGGGTGATGATGATTTTGATTTTAAGAAGGGGGAGGGGTGTGTCCCCCCACCCATTTAGTTCTGGGGAGCTAGGGGGTCAGCAATTTTGTACACACACGCACGGGGAGGTCAGCGAGATTGTATATATCATTGTTTAAAATTATGCTAAGATATTATGTGAAGGGGTGGGGGGTTCATTGATTTGTACATGACATGCAGGGGGGACACTTATTTTGTACATAAATTTGGGGGGGGGGACATTCACATTGTACATGCTTCTCCATAAAAATCATCATCACCCCCCAAGCCATAAATTATGAGCGGTCCCTTCATTCCTCCAAAATGGCACATATGAAACCATTCAAACCCACAAAACGTAACGCTATTTGGTAGAATATTTGGCACTTTTGGAGCCACTTATAAAGATTATCCTACTTGTAAAATGTTACATGAAACCAACAGAAATAAAAGTATATTTGGCACTTTTAGAGCACATTTTTTTGCTTTGGAAATCAAGGGCAGATAATGCAAAGGGAGCTAACTCTGAATGACCTAATATATTGCAGAATCTGAACCATATCGCGATAATCGTATCGCGAGATATTGTACCGGTATATACCGGTTTACAGGTAATATTGCACAGCCCTACTATATTTGCTCCATATTTGAATAACTGTCAACAGTTAAGAACTGTCAAGTCGTTATAGGACTAAGAGGTTGATAGCAGAAGATTATTTGCTTCTTTATCGAACGCATCAATCTGCAACATCCAATATGACGGCGGACTGTAAATAGTCGAGTCTGGACCAGAAAATCCAGTGATTGACATCGTGAGCATCGACCGCAGTTGGGATACGATGTCAACCCGAGCCTGACCACCCGATCCCTTCTCTTGCGACAAGCATGGGTTGCTGAACACCAAACTTTACCCGGATTTTGAAGGTTCAGCAGTCTTGGCAGCAACAGGCAGTGGAATATATATAGGCTGCCACGTGTACATTCTGAAACACATTCCTGTTAGTGAACAACGTCGGTGAAATATGTTCTCTCTATTAGGAAAATGACGTTGGTTCTTTCTAAAGTTTCAAATTAAACGGACATTTCGGAAACCTTTTGTCTTAAAATGTCATCGAAGTTTAAAGCATCGATTTTCTTGTTTGCAAAAACGAGGACGTTGTCCTGTTTGATGGAGCATCTCTCTGGTTTAGAGAAAGGAATCCCAAGAACGATGCTGTGTGCATTACAGCTTGTTCACCCAACGACCACAGTTAGTTTTCGCAGTCGGCTGATTTATTAAATGGAATATGGTAATTTTCTTACTTTGTGCAGTCCAAAACTTACTCACCTCCGGCGTCGAGATCATGTCTGTGAATCAACACAGTAAATACAGGCGTTGTCAGGGCGTGTCTGTGTGAAGTGTTGGTGTGGCGATATGGGCAGCGATAAATGTTATGAGTCTCGAGGCGCCTGTTTGTCAGCGGACTAATTTAACGCCACTCTGTGCCGGAGACAAGTCGTGAGTACCGGACAGATTACCGTCTAGGAGACTTCCCCGTCACTCTGCCGACCACAGTGCTGGTGGAGAGATGTATACTGACATACACCCATGGTCAGATGTGACGGCTGCCCTATGACCAGATGTAACGGCTGCCCCATGGCCAGACTGTTGGTTCTCACATGGCCAGAGCCAGGCGGCTCTCCTATGGCACTGTTCATATGTATAGGACTGCTTTTGAAAAACTTCTCGATCGTTGTTTTTCACCGCAATTTTTGTGCATGTTTGCCATAACATTTATAGAAACATCTTCCGTTAGGGCGATTACATATCTGTGAGAGCTGGTCAGACAAAGTTTCCGAATTTAGAGATGGACTCTTGATGCAGATTTTGTATGGAGTGTTAGACAAGTCATCCCTCTTTTATTCTTCCAAGTGAATTGGGTTTGCAAAACCATCAACACGATATCTTCCTCCCCCCGGAATACGACTTGATTGCACAGATAACACCGACATGAATGGTCTAGGAGAAGGCGCACTATATTAGCAACAATATCGCACATCGGCCTAGGAGAAGGCGCACTATATTAGCAATGATATCGCACACAGAAGGCGCACTATATTAGCAACAATATCGCAACGGCCTATCGGGAGAAGAAGGCACTATATTAGCAACGATATCGCACATCGGCCTAGGGGAAGGCGCACTATATTAGCAACGATATCGCACATCGGCCTAGGAGAAGGCGCACTATATTAGCAACGATATCACATCGGCCTGAAGAAGGCGCACTATAATAGCAACGATATCGCACATCGGCCTAGGAGAAGGCGCACTATATTAGCAACGATATCGCACATCGGCCTAGAAGAAGGCGCACTATATTAGCAACGATATCGCACATCGGCCTAGGAGAAGGCGCACTATATTAGTAACGATATCGCACATCGGCCTAGGAGAAGGCGCACTATATTAGCAACGATATCGCACATCGGAATACATCAGAGTACCTCATGTTTAATTACAGGGACCATTTAACAGAATTGTCCAAGCATGAATATAGCTTACATGATTACTCAGAATACCCCTTGCGTGAATAACCCATAATACCGAAGATTACCCATAACATAAATACCTCATAAATCCTCAACATAAATACCTCATATTTAATTACCAAGAATACCTACACCTGAATATCAGTGAATACCGCACTCTGGAGTACCCATAATACCTACACCTGATTACCTCAGAATGTCACACTCTTCATAACAAAGAATACCTCGAATTGAATTCCCAGAATATCACGCACCTGAATATCACTCACTTGATTTGAAGACTATTTCACATCAGAAATGCCTCGTTTGATTACAATACCTGAATACCCCAGACCTGGATACCACAATCTGTAACAACCTAATACCCAAGAATACCATGATTCCTCAAGGTACCACAGAATATCGCGGATTTTCAAATCACAACAATTCCCTTTATTTTCTTTAACAGAAACCCGGGAAGGTGTCACTGACCAGGGCCGAGATTTTCGAAGCTCTCTCAGCGCTAAGATAGTCGTAAGTGCCATACATTAACATTAACATAGGACTATCAAGAGAGCTTCGAAAATCTAGACCCTGAACACTAACACCCCCTCAGTGGGAAGGTATGTGACCAAGGATAGAATATCAGCCAAGGTTTGTATGTTACTTATGGTGTCATCACTATTGCAGTGATCCGTTGATATAATTTCCACAGGGGTTTTGCCATCACACCAAACGGAATTTGTTTCTAAGGATAGTCAAGACTGGGTATTCTTTTGGCACTGACGTCCTATATTTACCACGATCTGTTGATCCAATGGCGAATACGAAATGCCATCTTCACCGCAAACGGTACATCGCAACGACGCGCCAGAAATAACTACACAAGATAAAATACACCAATTCTGTCAGTACCACTACGGCACCATTATGTTCATACATTCAAATAATTATTTGAAAACACTTGTTTATCAAGCCCATGGAATCTAAACAAAACTCTTATGCTTGGCACCGCAACAATGGGTCTGACAACCCGACATTGTCCTTTATAGGATTACATACAAATCTGACCAGTAGATCATTTAAAAACATACATTACTTACAAAAACGTCCCAAAAGACCGTACTGTATGACAAATATTTAGAAAAAAACAACCCAAAACAAAAACAACAATAAATGAAAGAAACTTGCAACAAAAAACAAAATACAGATTCTTCTGAAGACATTTGCTCAAAGACCCACCCACATACGTATACAGAATAAACACATACACAAGAGGTTCCCCTTTAATTATTGTCTGTCATTGTTTCCAAACGTGCATTTCTATTCTGTGAGGTTACTTGTCAAACATAATTCTTTTCATAATATCGGGACATCCAGCGAACATAGAAACATACTGTTTCTGCAACCCAATATTCAACAACAGCAACCAGGCGATGCACTAGTATCATATCCAAATCATATCTGATTGGTGAAGCTGTAATCTGAGGTCATCTTCACAATATCCATATCTTACTTTGAAGTTCCTGTCTTATAATACCACGCAGTATTCCCTCACCTACCGTACTCGGACTCGTAGTATTTTCATGTTTTCGTAAGGCGGTCGGGTAGCCGAAGACCCGGGTTCGATTCCACACATGGGTTCAGTGTGTGAAACCCATTTCTGGTGTCCCCCGCCGTGATATTGCTGGGATATTGCTAAAGGCGGCGTAAAACTAAACTCACTCACAACATGTTTTCAATAACTATTGATGTTGCACTCAGGTGACCTCAGATACTAGGGGAGGGAAATGTGCAGGAAGCCGAGACACTGATGACCATAATCTAACACTAGAAGACTGGGCTGGTTTATGTCAGCAACCCTCCCTTCGTCACGTCCTGTGAGAACGCTCATCACAACAATGGATTCCAATTAGTATAATTTACATGGTCTGTTCGCTGATCAGTCCTCTCATCTCAAGCTCGTCACCCACGACAACTTGGACAATTGACGTGATTTCTCTCGAGACCTGGACAGAAGCCAACGCTAACACCTGACGGGTCACTGTAGTGGACATGCTGCGCCTGACAGAAGAGATAGCACAGTGCATCTTAAGGGAAGAGGTATTGTGGGTCCCTGGTGGGAGGAGATTCTGTGGAGGAATGTATTAGGGGAGATATTGCGGCCTGGTGGGAAGAGGTATTACTAGGGCCTGGAGGGAGGAGATATTGCGGCCTGGTGGGAAGAGGTATTACTAGGGCCTGGACGGAGGAGATATTGCGGCCTGGTGGGAAGAGGTAATACTAGGGCCTGGAGGGAGGAGATATTGCGGCCTGGTGGGAAGAGGTATAACTAGGGCCTGGAGGGAGGAGATATTGCGGCCTGGTGGGAAGAGGTAATACTAGGGCCTGGAGGGAGGAGATATTGCGGCCTGGTGGGAAGAGGTATTACTAGGGCCTGGAGGGAGGAGATATTGCGGCCTGGTGGGAAGAGGTATTTCTAGGGCCTGGAGGCTATGACTGATGCGAGGAGATAACGCTGTTCATCTGATGGATGAAGATGGTACGCATGGAGAGGGAGATATCATTGCAAGTGAAAATGGAAGATATCACAGCACGCCTAACAAGAGACGGGATGAGATATTGCTGTAGCCTGGAGATAAGGCTATGGTCGTGATGGGAGGAGATACTACAGTACTCCGGAATGGAAGGAGAAACAACAGTGAGACTGATGGGAGGAGATACTACAGTACTCCGGAATGGAAGGAGAAACAACAGTGAGACTGATGGGAGGAGATACTACAGTACTCCGGAATGGAAGGAGAAACAACAGTGAGACTGACGGGAGGAGATACTACAGTACTCCGGAATGGAAGGAGAAACAACAGTGAGACTGATGGGAGGAGATACTACAGTACTCCGGAATGGAAGGAGAAACAACAGTGAGACTGATGGGAGGAGATACTACAGTACTCCGGAATGGAAGGAGAAACAACAGTGAGACTGGCGAGAGGAGATGCGACTGTACGCCTGACAGGAAGAGATAGTACTGTTCGTGTTACGTCAGGATAAAACATTAAGCTCATGACTGGGAACATATGCGGCTGTCTGTGGTTAATGTCCAAACATCTTTCAAATAGAATAATTCAAAAGGAAACACATCACAAAATACGTGGAAACAATTCAAAATGGTAGTTTACTGTACAGCAAAGATGAAGATTCCTGAGTGTGTAATTTCTTAGAAGATACATTATCCAAACCCAGAAATGCCTTGGAGCTATGTTTACATGTTTCATTTTGTTGCTAGACTCCCTCCTAAAGCTTCCATTTCCAAGAGCATCCTCCAGAAGCCGACTACCATTTGATGTTCTTGGCTGATGGAGGTATGGTTGGTTGGGTAGGGAGGGGTTGAAGTGCTCTACCAACACACAGTATCTGAAGCCCAGTCGTACCTGTTGTCATAAGTTTATTCTAAGTCCACTCCCATAAGGGTTTGTCCCGTAAACCAAAGGAAACAAAAATGAAAGGAAGGCAAAAGAAATAGTTCCAATTGAAATAAATGTTCACAGCAACGCCAGGCTGCTCTTCTAAAGAACAATTGCGGGTTGTTTATTTTGAACGCCATCCTGTATATGTGGTTGTTTTACTTTACGATCCTCATTCAGTAAAACCACTGTTTGTGTCCGGATCCTGTTTGTAATAAAACGACCCCGCACAATTTGTTTATAGCAAACCTATAGTTCAAATTACAATCGGAACATGTAAAATCGCTCCGATTTCCATATAGATTAGACTCTCTTATGGACGTCCAGAGCTTCGACTAATGGTTATAGCGCTGAACATGGATGTAACATTAGGAGCGCGTATGGTTAAGACCGTTGTAGAGACATAAGCGAGATGAGGTCAAGCGTGTATCGAGCGCCTTGGGGCGTTTAATCCAACAAAATGACATTCTTTTAAAGGTTCCTGATAAAAAACCATGAAACAGAGAAGTAATCCTCCACTGGGAATACGGCAAAACAAACGCGAAGACCGTCTACTTTTAGATCGGCTAGTGATATCTCGATTTCTTGTGATCTTTCGCGACACTTCACTGCCGATGGCTGGCTGTTGGGCAATGTCATAACAGTGTATTGATCTTCACCTTAATTATAGCACAGTGACTGTAGCCTCACAGACTCAAAACAACTATACTTCTTGGTAACAGCTTCAGTTAACTGAGACAATATGCTCAATTGTATTGGTAGGTTATTAATAAAGTACAGTCAGGTGATTTTCATGGTTTTAATTCCATGGTTTTAAAGAAAAAGAAACATTCAAAGAACAGTAGATATCGTTTGGGTGAGTGAGTGTGATTGTGTTTAGTCTTTTGCCGCTTTTAGCAATATTCCAGCAATATCACGGTGGATATGTGTTTTGGAACAATATACAACAAGGACATTTACAAGTAGAGGTTTGTTTAAATGAAGGAACAGAAAATATTGGAAAAATAAAGAATACTTTAAATAAACGATGACGTTTGCTTTCTAGCGCAGCCTGAAGAACTATACGCTTTCGTTTCATGTAAAGGATCCTTTTGAAATAAATATGCAAGACTTTTTCAACTGAAAAAGAATAACTCACACAAACTGAAAATGAAATGCACATCGGTTTCCAATGTTTAAGCCATTTCAGTTTTAATTACCGCTCTAGCCTAAAGATCAACAGTTACGTCTTCATTGATTGCTCAGTAATTCCCACAGGTCGGTGAGACTGCAGATACATATATACTACGCCTAACTGACTTCTTACTACCTTACAAAATACATTTTCCATCACTGAGAACAATAGTCCTCGGTCAAAAGACCAATGATAAACAAGGTGTGAAGCACAGCAGGGCGTGAAACTTGGGACTTCAGCAACAATGGAACTGACAAGCACCACAGGCCGATGTGATTGCAAAATCGATCAACAACGTGCATGTGACAATGGAAAGAGTGGCGAGGGAAACAGCCTGTGAAGGGGAGCAGTCATTGCACCAAGAAAATACTTATCCTTATGTTACGATACAATGTGTTTTTCACTTCGGTGTTCCAGACCAGACGACGTGGGAGCACTTTGTATTGTTCTTGCATTTAGATTAAGAGCACTGAATTCTGTCGAAGTAACCGAGGACAGACATGGAGCTTTGCCTCATCTGAGGTATCTGTTCTACAAACATAATACGTCCTTGGTCCTACAAGCGTACACTGATATCCATATACATATAAAGAAGGAAAGGGATGTAACGCACACAAACTTGTCAGACACCCCCCACTCGTAAATGGGCGAAATCTTGGTGAGAAATTGTGAAAAACACAGCCGGGATTCTTACAGAAATAAAGCCAGATGAATTCCCTTTCGATTAAATCCAAAATTATCAAAATCGGTGCACTATTGACCGAGTAACTTTGCTTGGAACTCTTGAAAAGACAACTTTTTCATTTGTACGCCAAAAACCTGCCTACGAAAATCATCGCCTCTCGGCGAAGAAATACTAAGTATTTCAATGGAAAACACGCAATCGGCGAAAAGACATAACCTTTTCGTAATCGCTAGATATTCCGCTTTCGCATTACAACATCTCAAATGAAATGAGTTACTGATTTTACCTGCCATACACGACTTTATTGGAAAATAGGCGGTATCGAGTGATCAGGGCCACCATGTTTGTCCTTCACCTTCAATAGACTCGCACCAACGACGAGCTGGTGATGATTTTCGTAGGCAGGTTTTGGCGTACAAATGAAAAGTTGTCTTTTCCCGAGTTCCAAGCAAAGTTACTCGGTCAATAGTGCACCGATTTTGATAATTTTAGATTTAATCGAAAGGGAATTTATCTGGCTTTATTTCAGTAAGAATCCCGGCTGTGTTTTTCACAATTTCCCACCAGATTTCGCCCATTTACGAGAGGGGTGTCTGACAAGTTTGTGTGCGTTACATCCCTTTCCTTCTTTATATGTATACAAGCCCCTGTGGTTCTACATATATCATAACTATTGAACACAACATTCCGATTTCAACAAGGACTTGTGGTTTTAGTACTGTGAGTCTATAATGAAGTATAATGGTATAGAGACAGCCTGTCACTCTGTAGAGAGTGTTCCATTGTCTTAAATCATAGGAGAAAGATTAACACAAACGATTATAACAAACTGATGGTTGAAACGAAACTAAATTTCTCGTCCC